AACGGAGACAACTTCTAACTCTTTTTGTGTGTTAATTAAGACATGTACATAAATGTTTGTTTTAACTAATTGGAAGTAGCTAAACATTAAGTGCTATAAATTCACTTCTAAGTGCTAGAACTGATTTTACAAAAAGACAGTTATGCATTGAAATTGATAATAGGCTTTTGGTAAACTGACTAAAATGCTACTAAAGTTATTTTCGTAAGATATTAATTTAAACAGAGACAAGCGAAAATGGAATGAAGAAGAGCCGGGGGTGTTTGGGAAGGCTATTTTGGGATTTACAAAAGATACATGCAACAACAATAAAAGTTGGGTCGGATATATGAAATCTCATTGATCATGATTCTCCTTTTAAATTAGTTTCAGGTCAAGATTACCTAAACAAAAGATACTAGGGATAAAATAGTCAAAAAGAGCTGTCAAACCAAATGGTCTTAAAAGCTAATAAGTTACTATCAGTTTGGAGAATTTGGTTGATCTTGGCTTATAAGCACTTTTGATGTTTCCAAATGCATAGCCAAGCAAGTTTGATGTTCTTATGAGCTAGTTTGATCAGCTTATAAGCTTACGAAAATGCCGTCAAAGTAAGTAGAATTGTGGTGACCGCAACAACCTTTTATATCTAAGAATAGTCAGAATGATCGAAACATTGAACTATTTGAATGTTCAAATAATAATGGTGTCACCTAAAATAAGAGAAGACTAATTCAATCTCTATCAGGGATCAGTTTCACTTTTCTGCTTTTTCATGTTTCCTAGGTTGCAACTTTTGTAGGGTTGAATTTTGTGCTTCAAAGGTGTTTGATGATTATGATTGGGGAAGAATATGCATCTCACTGGTTAATATTACCCTGCATTTCACTATGATTTATTTGGGTTGATGTTAAGTTGCATACTGTATTCTATTATTGATCGATGATGATGGTAGATTTGTTAGATGTGACTATTACATGTGCTTCTGATTGTTGTCATGAGTCTGATTGTTGTCACGTGTATGCTTATTCGTCTAAAGCTTTTGTTTTCCAAGATAAGCCGCTTCTGAATATCTGCTTTAACCGGTTAATCGCTATTCCCCTTTTTAGACCTTTGTTTTCTCTAATGTTCTCCTCGGTTGTGAATATTCCAGGTCATCTTTTCAGCTCACTGAGTTTTACGTTGCAGTCTACCTAAGAAAGCCTTTTTATTGGACTGTTTGAGATGGCTGAGGTATTATTAACCTTATTTCATATGCCAGTTATAATCAATCTAATATTTGTTCCTTCATTAGACTTTGTGCATAGAGACATTTACTTACAAACATAACTTTGATTGTTGCAGGAGGGTCACAAGGTTTCCTTGAACGTCTATGACTTGAGCCAAGGTTTAGCTCGTCAGTTGTCTACTACATTTTTGGGGAAAGCTATTGAAGGAATATGGTAAGTTGCATACTACCTGAAGGGCATTCTTTTCTTTTGAGTGATGATTGGATGGGGTTAATTGGGAGAAATTTTCTTCTGAGTTATGATGCAGGGGATGAGTTAATTGGGATATATTGAAACCAAATTCTGCTCTCTGATTAATAAGATCAAGTAAAATCCTATTACATAGAATAGACCGACGCCTATGTCAATTGTGTCACCGCTTGCCACTTTAACTTAAGCCAGCAGAACTGTCTTCCATAGCCTGATCTTATATTAAGTTGCGTCTAAACATATTGGTGCAGGGATAATACACTTTCTTGTGTTTTTCTGTCTTATTTCATGGAGGTCTTACCTCTCCTGTAGTTCTCACCTAATGAGTAGTTCGTTCGTGTCTGTCATAGCGGTAGTGTGAATTGTCTTTCTATCTCCTTTAATCAGATCTTTGTGTATCTATCCTGTAGGCACACAGGAGTGGTGGTTTATGGTCATGAATATTATTTTGGAGGTGGTATACAACATGCTCCAGCTGGGACGACTCCATATGGGACTCCTATTCGAGTTGTAGACCTTGGTGTCACACACGTGCCCAAGGATGTCTTTGAAATGTATTTACAAGAGATAAGCCCTCGGTATACTGCAGAGACATATAGTTTGCTAACCCATAACTGCAACAATTTCAGCAATGAGGTTGCTCAATTTTTGGTCGGTGCAACCATTCCAGATGATATTTTGAATCTTCCTAACGAGGTTATGAACAGCCCAATGGGTGCCCTTATAAGTAAGTTGGTTCTTTGCACTTTCTGTATTGAACATCTGTACGACATTTCTGATTGACATAAATACCTGATCTTAGTGAAACATGAAGTTCTGTGTTGATCACCGTTTTGTCTTTTTCATATCGTAGAATTTTGCTGTTCTGTGTTGGTTTCCTTTTGTCTCTGTCACATCCAGAATTTTCAGGAAAGGTGCCTCTTCTTGTGTGTAAATGCGCCGTACTTTCGTCATTAGTTCTGTGAAGTTTTGTGCGTGTTACATGATGCTTTCTCGGACATTCATGTGTTTTGGCAGCCTCCATAACTTAAGGAGTTCTTAGATATTCAAAATAGTGGGAACCATCTCCCTCTTTGGTAGTAATAGCGATATACTTGAAATGATATTTTTTCAATATCAAAATAGATGGAATAACTGTCTCCATTCCTATCACTAACTAAAAAAGTGTCATCTGAGCTATGTACAGTATTTCAGCCTCACCATTTTAGTTGTAATTTTCCCCATCAATTACTTTTTGCTTGGTTTATATGCAAAAAGTTACTCATTACTTATCAAAGAAACTATATACATTGCTGCTCTGTGCATTGAAAGTAATTTCTGGAGGGAAATTTTGTTTAAAATGTTCAGTTTTTAGGCTTACTCCATGCATTATTATCTTGATGCAGTGCCCATGATACAACAACTGGAATCAACATTGAGGGCTAACGCAGTTCCTCAAGCACCCCAGTTCAGACCACCTACTGTTGCTTCTGCTTCCCCGCCGATGGTTTCTGGTGGAAAGAGCCAAGTCGGAGAGGATAAATCTGGATCAGTAGTGCAGCCTGCCAAACTTGAAGAAAAACCTGTGGGAGAGCAAGAGAAGACACCTGCTAATACTGCTGTGAGGGATCCTCTGGGGGACTCACGAAGCAAGGTACAAGAGGAAATAACCCGTGAATTTGCTGCAATCATGGCAACTGGAACATTGCGTGCAAGTGAGGCTGCTGCTTTAGCAACTAAGAGAGTTATGCAAAGATATGGACACACAACTGCTGCTTTGAACTAATGACAAAAATGTTTGTCAATTCTTAATTTTTTTCACATCTGTGTTGGATAAGTAATATCCAATTGAATGATGTGAGCCTAGACATTTAGGCTGTTAAGTAGTAGGAGGTATATCGAACTATTGATTCCTATCGAACTATTGATTCCTATCTAAGATTGTTCCTTGAAAGAGATCCGTATCTTGTACGCTTTTTGGACTTTATTAATTGAATAAGAACTTTTTGCAAGACCATGCGCTTCTGATTGTGCATAAATAGTTGACTCAGAAAATGTAGGAGAACCTGGAAAATAGTTGAAACTAAGAGTGTGAGCACTACAGATAAGAAGTTGAGTGAGATATTCGTTCATGTTGTTAGAGTCTTCTTTGATTCGATTTGGTCCGATTTTCCTTTCTGTCTTTTGTTGGAGTGTTCAATAGATCCTACCTTGCCTTTCAGTTTTTAATGATATTGTTGTGAATTAGAACCTGAGCTTTAATGTTGCCAAAATATACAATGGTATGTTACGACAGAAGATCGAAAACAAAAAGGGTTGATTAAATAGTTTATGGGTCAAGACTATTTTAAGGAAACAAGCTGGTTAACCAGATAATACATTAAAGGATATGAAATGAGAAAAGAAATTTAGAAGGGTGTGTAGTTTGTCAAAGAGAAATTCACTTCTTACATATAAAACTTAATACTTGTTCACTAGACAGGCTAAGAAGTTTGTCCGCGAAAGAAACACTTGTGTGCTATGATTATTGTGAGTTCTACTTGTTTTTTCATTGCATTCAAATCGTTACAAAGCAATACTTATTTCGGAGGTTGTCCTTTGCAGTTGCTATTTTCTTGATAGATCTCTTCTCTCATTTACAAGCTACGATGAAAAACGAAGAACAGAAAAATAAAAACAAGTAACACTTGCATATAACCCTCCCTAAACCCCACGTGTGGGATTGCACTGGGTTTTGTTGTTGTTGTACTTGCATATAACATTTCCCGGATTAAGATTTTTAAAAATCATTAGTATAATATATGAATTTAACAGTTGAGTATATATTTATACATCTTTTTGTTCGGTAACTTTTTGGTACAAAACCAAAAACCAAACCGAATTATCAAATTGCAAAAATTACAACCGCAAATTTAACTAAATTATTGAATCTTTTATCGATTATTTGGGTTTTACCCAATTCTGAACGCCCCTAGAACTCAAGTTTGTGACATGAGGTGGAGAGAGGCAGGTAAGGCAATTTTACAGTCAACTCAGTCACTTAAAAGTTTGGATTTTCCAGGAAAAAAAGTAAAAGGATTCAAATAATCAATCCTTCCTGCACGTGGGAAGTCATGCATCAAAGTTTGAAAAAACAAGTGTATTTCGAAGCATTCATCTGCAAAATGAAAATTGAAAGAGATAATTCTCACTTGATGTATAGTAAGTATAAAATTTTGGGGTTTGCATTGCTATATCTGCACAAGACAGCAAAAGACTGGACACACCTATACTTTTGCAGCGAACCAACCTAACATTATGGGTGTCATTGAGCTTTGAACATGCTCGGGAAAGAAAACAAAGAATACGTTAAGTTCCCTTCTGTAACATTGAGTAAGATTAACATAAGATACACCTAAACTACTGCCACCAGACAAACCCGTCACCATTGAGCAAAAGAGCTAGTCTACCTTGGTGATAGGTGATCTTGTTCTGTGGACTGGATTTTCCCATTTTCAAGTTCAATGCTTGCTTCTTCTGGTACTGAACATGCGTCTGAAGGGATGTTAATGCCTGCAAAACCAACCATAACAGCTGCAGCTCCGATGTAATCCAAGATAGGGGGTGCATTTCCTGTCAGTGTATCCACGATTGCAGCTAGCGGGACCTGAATGGTGAGTCCTGCTGTTGCTACTGTTGTGGAGGTTAAAAGAATAGCCTTGGCCCACAGTAAATCGCTCAGCACATTGTCAAACATACCTATATATGGTTATTTGGAAGTTAGTAGTCCATATATTATGTTGCCTCCTACCAGATCAAGTAAACAAAAACCAAAAAGTTGGCAATGCCAAATCCCATCCGAAGAAAAGGAGAAATTGTTAAAGACGAGATGAATGAAGAACGTAAAGATTGACGCCACAGTTGGATAACATGTCTATTTCCCCTAATATAACTTTCACTACTTCAAGTAGTTTAGAAGCACGGCTTCCTGATGAAACATCAAAACGATTAAAAAGAAAAAAGCTATTGCTAAATATCAAGCTCAGAATAATAGATGATTCAAGGCTCCCTTGACCCAGCAAATCTGACATGGTTATTAGAAGTTTAGATGCACCTGTACTATGTAGTTCAGCCACATTAAAAGAATTAGAAAGAGAATGATAATGCCAAACCCCACTCCCTCAAAAAAAATAAGAAATTCATGAGGATGAGATGAAATATAACAAGAACGATATGCGACTGTGGACGATATGCCTAGCTAGTCTAACTCTACGTTTCACAACTAAAGAATTTAAGGTACAGGATGCCTGCGCACTTGATGATTGATGAACAGCTAAAAATCAAATTTCATGATACTTGCTGATTAGAGAACTCTTTTACAGTTGACGTGAGTGATTTGAGGTCAAGTCTCTAAATTTGCTTCTGCAGGAAGGACTCATCATCATATGACCGAAGCTTATAATTTATGCTTCCTAGTTGGGCTTCTCCTAATCTCAATTATCAGATGCAGACAAAATACAAAATAGAAAATAGAAAAATCACGATAAATCATGAATTAGAGTATGATTAAAAGTTGTTGTGTACAATAAAAAAGAGGCATCCATTTTTGTTTTTGTTTCTGATTTTCCTTCCAGCAGCTTAGCCAGGGTCGTACAGCGCCAGAGACTCTTTCTAACGGAAAAAAGACTAAACCTTATATGAAAAAATCTAGAACCTAGAACATTTCCTCTACTCGGCAATGTAAAGTAAAAAAGGGGACTTCACTTTTGTTTTTGTTTCTGTTTTTCCTGCCAGCAGCTTAGTTAGGGACATATTCCATCAAAGATTCTTGCTAACAGCAAAAGACGCTCTTTTTCTTTATTAAAAAAAGGCTATTATGGCGTTTGAATCGGTTTAAGCTTTAAAAAAATGGCTTCTGAATAAATAAGAAAGAAGAAGACAAATGTAGTGTGGGCTTGAATAAATAAGAAAGAAGAAGACGAAGAAAAACCCGGTATGAGTTCTAAAAAAATGGTGTTTGAATCTGGTATAGCTTTGAAAAAATGGCCATTTCTTCTTAATTACCTGATAAAAAAAAGGACCGTTTATGGTGCTTGAATACGTAAGAAGAAGAAGCAACAGGATTATGGGGTTCAAATTTGTATGGTTTGAAGGAAAGAAGAACTCCCTGGAATGGCCAAGTTTAAGCCATCGATGAAAATAAGCTGTCTAAATGAAAAATAGAGCAAAGTTTTAAGGAGTTGTCAATGTATATCTGGCCTATGTTTTCTCTTTTTTATGAATAGAAATTAAATCTTCTTCTATAAGTTGATATCATTTTCATTCAATCTCACACCAAGATAGTATTATCTATACATGTAGATTTTACATCTAATAGCATAATTCTCTCATCAAATCATCCAAAACAGGCACATCAGTGGCTATCTTCAATAAAACATCTTCCTTGCTTTCACGCTTTCTGTCCAAGTCCATTGGTTGATGGTATGGAATGTAGTCTCTTTATACTGTCTTGAACAGTCTTTACCTCATAAGTTAGTTTTTGGGGTTAAGTTAGGTCCAAGGTCTGTTTCACTTGACATCGTATCAAAATCAGACATTCCTAATGTTTTATTACCCAATGTTAAGCCCCTATTATATGTTATCCGTGCTCCAGATATCCAAATCTGGGTATAAATAGGGTGTTAAATCCCACATTGGTTGAGGATGTGTGTAGTCTCTTCATATGGCCTTGAACAATCCTTATATCTAAAGCTATCTTTTCTACTTTCTTTACACTTCCCACCTCCTGGCTTGCCACAGCATCCATCACCGTACTAGGTAATGTCTAAGCTATGTTGTATAGGGACTAAACTTAGACCTTTATAGCTAAAGTAAAGATGGAAAGCTGATCCTTACAAAAACAAGGAGTAAAGATGCAATCTTGCAACAGATGGTCCATATCTTTCTCATGCCTTTCGCCAAATCCAGCATACTACGATGCATCTCCTATTCCTCATATTATCCGCATTTAGAATAGTATCTCAGATAACACAATGTAAGAGTGCCACCTGCTTAGGAGTTTCAGGGGTGATTGGGCATGCAAATTTGCTTCAATGTGTCTGTTGGTTCTATTTCTTTAAAAAACATTCTTCAAACTTTAAAAACACCTCAAGCACTTCAAAATAACGAGTCAAATCTGCTTTGTCTTCCAGAAAACTTCTCTATATCATCGTTTGCCAGAGTTAACCATGTTTGCACTTCCCCTCAAGTGGCAGACCAAGTAGTTCGGTGAAGTGTTTCCATTTTACAAACATAGATCATAGATAACTCATGAGTATTATGTACTTCTCCAACTGCGAGTAGCCGAGTACCTTGAACTACCATATGCTGACCTGAAACTCAGAACCGCCTCACGTCCCACTAGTGTCCTGAATAAAAAAAAGTCTCATCTGTTGTTCACAGAAAACCAAGTATTATAAACTTTCAGATAGTTCGACGAACAAAACCTATTACTTCCTCCGTCTCATTTTGTATGAACCTGTTTGATTAGACACGAAGTTTAAGAAAGAAAGACATAACTTTGGAACTTGTGGTCTTAAACATGCCATGACATTTGTGTGGCTACAAAAGCATGTTACTTAGGTAAAATGGGAAGTTTAAAGTAAAATTGTTTCAAAATATAGGAAGATATCATTCTTTTGGGAATAGACTAAGACGAAAGAGTGTCACATAAAATAGAACAGACGGGTACTTTTTCTTCTTATATCATTCACAAATAGATGTCCAAATGTTCCCTTCTACTTTTTTGCCAAATAGAAATAGACGTCTGAAACCATTCTTTTCAAACTAAGACAAAGAGGTCTAGAGATTGACACAAACGTTAGAAGCCGCCATAACTTGAATAGAAAGGAGCAACTGTGCTAGGGTTTGTATCCTAGTTGAGAGTGGGGTATCTAAGCTAAGGTTTCTTTGCTAGTTGCGGGTGGAAGTAACTAAGCTAAGGTTCCTTTTCGTATGCTTGGGTTTTAAAAAGTGGTTCAACAAAATCATTAAGAGAAATGTGTTGTATCTTGATTGGGCCACAAACAAGTTTGGATGACAAATAAAGTTCACTTTTATTAACAAGACCCAGAAGAAAAAAAAACGGTTGGGCAAGTTCTGGACCATTTAACACAGCATAAAAATAAAGTTTATTCAGCATAACTTAGTAAATTAAGTAAAACTGGATTTTAGCAAAACTTTGACTTTAGTAATTGAGTAGCTAACTAATTACTCCATCAAATATTTTATATTTACACATTTATTATCTGTATCCCAATACCCGGTACTTCTAATTGTATCACTGTCCATTGAACCCTAAAGGTTATGAGATTAGCGAATTTGACCTCTAGAACCGTACCGTGTGGACATCTGCACCCGAGATAATACAACATTGCCAGTCATCGTAAAGAGGTTTCTTCAACTTGTCTCCAAAAGAACGCATCGGTCGTCGGATATTTGATAGGTAATGAAGCCCTTGCATCCACGTATCCTTGCCCAAGTCTTACACATTTCGAGCCATACCTAGTGGAATCAACTTAGATTTCCGATGCTACTTCAAACCACACTAAAGTTCTAAAGCTACCAAACCTTTCTATTTTGTGGATCAGGAAAAAAGAAAGAGTATCATTCGCAAAGAAGAAAACTAAGACAGATAGACAATCTACCCTGTGGACTTGTAGCCATTAACCTTAAAGCCATTGACAAGACCTCCACTCTTTCTAGAAGTTTACTTAATACTTTTTGACTAGTAAGCAAACTGTGTTTCATTACTATAAATGCCACGCACTAAGAAGTTTACAAAATGCTACCATAACAATAAAAAATAGCAAGGGTGAGAGGGGTTCTCCTGTGTTAGTCCCTACTAATACCCAAAAAACCAAAGGAAAATCTGCTAATCATGAAAAAGAATTTAACCCAATAATAAGCATGTTGGATCCATTGCCTCCATTTATATCAAAATATAGCAAGAAGCTCTAATTCACATAATTATCCATTTGTTGTGTGTCCAACATAAACAACATTCTCTATTCTCCAGTCCTCGATCTCCAATCTACTATTTCATTAGCAAAAAGAGTTGCACCTAGGATTTGTCTACTCCTCTCAAAAGCATTCCATGAGGTAAAAATGAGCTTGTCTAAGACGCGTTTCAATCTCAAGGATAAAGTGTTCGCGATGATCTTATACACTGCCACCAAACTGATCGGCCAAAAATCCTAAATGTCCAAAGCACCATTTTTTTTAATGACCGAGAAATCTCCGAGGACCAATGGTGCACGGTTTGAAGCTCAGTGGATAATGGGCTCGCCCCTCTACCCTTCTTCATTTAAATACTACGCTTTAGATCGAGCTAGCGACATGCGCTTAACTCCCACGTAACATGTTGCACTCTTAACACTAGACCAAAGCTCTGGAGGCCCAAACCACCACTTTTCTTAGGAATCAAGATTATATGTTCCACAACCTCTTTCTATAGCAGCTCCCAATGGTGAAAGAATGCAAAAGGAAACTCATGCAGGCATAAGTTACGCGGCGTAACGATTTGTCTCCCAAACAGTTTCATAGAGCCTAAAGGATCTTTTCTTCTGAATGGTTGCTCCATTCCTCTTTCTCCTCCTCAATAATTGTCTAGAATGTGATTCAGTTCAAACTTAGCCTCCAACCCCACTTTTCTCGTACAATATTTGATTAGAGAGCTCAATGAAATTATTTCATTTGTATGGACTAATGACACAACAGAAGAGTTTAGAATTATTCTTCAGAACAATTTAAGTGTTACTTTTATCTCCAAATAATTTCTGTGGCCACTAGTTGTTTGCCCCATATCGTCTTTGATTGTTTCCTTCTGGATTTCCTCATCATCACTTACGCCTTCTTTTTCCTCCTCCTCTTCTAGTACTTTTAAGTTCATTAAATAGGTATCCATAATTTGTTTCCGTGTACCCAAGCACCTCCTTGTTCCATTTATGCAAGTTGCTCTTCAACATTTTTAGAAATATTAGATAGGTTAAAACAAAGTTATCCTATGACCGTGTAGTTCTGCCACCATTCTCTAATTGTTTCCTCAAAATTATATGTTGCTGACATAATCAAATGCCAAGAGTTAGAAATCATACTGTTTTTCATAGGACAGGAACCAAATGCAAACACTTACTTCAAATGGTCACATAGTAAGCAATTCTGTTCAAGAAAACACTGAAGAAACAGCAATTAGAAGATCATGTAGAAGAAAAAAGGAGTGGACTATCATATTTCATGGTCCCCATTTTCACTCATTATGCACACAAAGACACAACAAATCAATAAATACTTAAATACGCAAGGGTAGGCAGACTCATACCTTTACCAACAATTAGGCCAAGTTGCTTCCAGGTGAGCGTATTAAATGGCTCGAGGTTAGCAAAGTTGAGTACAAGAGGGATGGGTAAGAATATCAGCAGGTTGAATAAACCCAAAAATCCAAGAAACTGTGCCATACTGGCATGACCACTTTTTCCATCATCATCAGGTAACTTTTTACGAATGAGGGTTATGTACACAGCATAAAAAGCGGATGAGAGGAGAGCAAGAATGTCTCCAAGAACAGGGTTTGAAGCAACTTTACTGGATCCTGATTTTGAGTCACCCAAGCTGACAATGATCGTTCCTCCCATGCAAAGAAGCACACTGACCAGCTTCACCCAACTGAAAATCTCTCCCAAGAATACAAGAGAGACCAGAAAAGTAAACAAGCTGGATGAACTGCTTAAGATGGTGTTTGACTGTAAGGAAAACCAAAATCACAACCACATTACACAGGCGGATATAATATTGCACCCACTATTAATGCGATAACTGGTTGAACATGATATAAGTATATACACTCCTAAAAAATCCTTAACTACATAACTTGAGTTGAAATTAGTGGGTGTGTCCGTTACATCCATTAATGTTTGTCGATGAAATGGATAAAAGCTACTCCCTCCATTTCATTTTATGTAATGTGCACAAGATATAGTAATGGAAAGAAGACTTTTGAATCTTCTGGTCTTAAACTGAAGGTGTGTATAACATACCAAAAATGCGCTTCGAATCTCATAGTCTTAAACATGTCATTACACTCCTAGAAGGGAGTGCCGTTAAGGATATTACAGAAGTATTAGAATTAAGAACTTACTAAAAAAACAAAGTGACATTATTTTTAAACAGTCTAAAAGGGAAAGCAAGACACATAAATTGAGATAGGAGGGAGTAAAAGATAGTATGCTTACCGTAACAGTTGTATATTTGAGTGATAGATTAAACGTAAGCTGTGCTAGAAACCAAAAAGGGCATATTAACAAGCTAACTTTAGCTACTCTAGAACGCGTCCAACGCCCTTTCGCGTCCAACCCCATATCAACACTTTGATCTAAACCCTTATCAGCAACAACCAATTTGCTCTCTTCTGTAACCCCACTTGGACTCAAACCATCATCAGCTTTATCATCAAGAAGAATAGCCTCCTCTGATTCACCAGAATCTTGCAAGGTGCTGCTATCTTTCTTCTTTCGCCAAAACAACAAAGTCCCATATTTATCTTCGAGAAAGCGTACAATTTCAATAAGAGGAATGTATATAACGAACAAAGAATTGCAGATGTATGTGACAAGAAAAGGGGAAACACCGGCATCCACAACGGACTGAACCACAAAACTAGCAGCAATCCAAATAGAGGCAACAGTTAATATATACACCAAACCTAAAACCCATCTCCAAGTTTGACTTTTCATCCCTTTTTTTAAACCAAAAATTTCAACCCCAGAGACGAATTTTAACTGGGAATGAATGCACCCTCTAAATGTTCATCGATTAAAAAACCTATTTGCTCCAATATATTGAAATGTCACATCCAATAGATGTTTGTTGAAGTCAAAGAGAATAAGAGGAAATCAACTGTAAGATATTTCATAAATGAGAATGGGATCCAATTGTTCGCAAAGGGCGTGGAATCTGCGATATTTTGAGAGAATGGGTTTTCTCCAGGAGACTAGTGGAGCACGTGCTTCACGACTCACGTGCTTCTCCTGTGTATAATTCAGTAAATATCGAATTACCCTATGGAAATGGAAGATTTTAGGTAACATTTAAGTTTGGTTTGAAGATGAAAATGTGTTTGGACATAAGTTTTCAAAACATATTTCACCTTTTTTTTAAAAAAAAAAGTATGAAACATGACTTATACACACAAGTTCTATAAACTATTAGAAATACCCAACAATACCTTTCTCGCTAACATTCATTATATTATCGCAAACCATAGTCCTAAACATAAATAAATTTGGTACAAAATTATCATTTTTATAATAAACTACATAATACACTATCAGGAGACCGAGAAGATGAAGCAGCATTGTTACAAAATAATAAATGGTGGACTCTTTTATAAAATACAAAAGTTTGGGAAAAATTTTAAAAAAATGAATGGTGATATTTTGGGCCAAAACCAGCTCTTGGGCTGATTTTGGGATTTGGTTTTTGGGTTTTGAGAATTTTTCCAAAATGTAGCTAAAATCTATGGCCAAACATGTATTTACCAAAAAAATCCCCAAATATATTTTGGCAAAATCTATGGCCAAACGGGTCCTTAGTATTTGGTTTAAGTTTTTTTTTTTCAAAAAAATTAGTATGGTATTCAATATTTAAAAATAAAATACAGAAATACCAATATACTTCCGAAATATCTATTAATATAGAAAAGGAGAGACAAATTCATAATATTGTGCCAAGTGTCAAACAACGTGTCAAGCTTAAGACAGAACTCCAATAAGCTTAGAGATTCAAAAAATTTATAAAATTAAAAAAATTATTTGAAGCTTTAAAGCATTAATTTGGCTAGTTATTCACATCATGAGTCTCACGTTTGGGCATATCTATTCACACCATGAGTCCCACATTTTTTAGACTCCCACGTTTCTTCATCCACGATCATCTATTCAAAAAATTAGACTCCCACATTTCTTCATTAGTTATTTATTAAATCTTTTATAAGCGTGAAATTCAACTAAAAAATTCTTTACAGATAATTTTACATAGAAATAGGAAGAAAGGAAAAAAAATACTCCAGATCCTCTTTCCAAACGTGGGCATCAGAACCTAACTCCATAACTTAAAAATTGTTTCATACGCTAATAATGTCTCAAACGTCTGCTCCTTTTATTTTCTTCTCTATTTCTATTCCCTTTTTTTCTCTGCTCAAAATACATAAGTTTGCAAATATAGCTACAACACTTCATGAAATCAGTTAAATTTCAAGCAACTCGATGCAATGGAATCTCAAAGTTAGAGTCATTCGAATGTGGGAAATGCCGGATCGTTTCAATCCTGAAAAACCATATTCGATTGAGTTGATTTTACAAGATGCAAAGGTAACATATTCAACTTTACATAGTTCTAAAGTTTTTCTTATTTTCTGGTTTTATGGATAAATTTTTCATTATAAAATGTACGAATTGTGAAAGATTATATGTAGTACCAATACTAATTTCTTTAGGATGAACTTACGGCAATTTTGCCTATTCAACTTCACTTAGTTTTAAGATTCTCTTCTTTTTTGGTTTAATGGATAAAATTTTCACAATAAACTATACTAATTAAATTATTATGCATACTACCAGTATTTTGTATCTGTTTCTAAATTATTCGGTAATTCTTCTATTCCATTATATCACGTTTTACAAAATTGTCTAACTAACTTTATATTTGTAGATGTCATTAGTCAGGTTGTGACGTATGAAGATGTTAAGACCCACAAGCAAGGAGATAACAAAAATGTCTTTCTCAATGTTCAACTCGAAGATGATCAGTAAATTATTCACTGATAGAAACTATACTTTTACAGTTTAATTATTTATATTATTTTATTGATGAATAATACCTTGAAACTTATAGGAGGAACAGGATTACGCCAACCTTATGGAGTGAACTTGTGGATTGTAACGACCCGGCCGGTATTTTCATGAGTTATAGCCTCGTTTCCCCCATTTCTACTTCCTTCTGTGTTCTTAAGCTGTATTTTATTGTATCATGTTGGTTGGTTCGGGTCCGGAGTGGTTTTGGAGTGAAATGAGACACTTAGTCTCGTATTTAGATGTTTAAGTTGGAAAAGTCAGCCGGATGTTGACTTATGTGTAAACGATCTCGGATGTGAATTTTGATAGTTCTGTTAGCTCGTTAGGTGATTTTGGACTTGGGAGAGCGTTCGGAATGTAATTTGAAGGTCCGTGGAGAATTAGGCTTGAATTGGCTAAATCGAAAATTTGGCAATTTTTGGTCGGCAGTGGAAAATTTGATATCGGGGTCGAAATGGAATTCCAGAAGTTAGAGTAAGTTCTTAGTGTCATTTGCGACGTGTGTGCAAAATTTGAGGTCATTCGGACGAGGTTTGATAGATTTCGGCGTCGTTTGCGGTATTTGGAAGTTTAGAAGTTCTTAGGCTTAAATCCGAGGGTAATTTGATATTTTGATGTTGTTTTGGGAGATCCGAAGGTTCGACTAAGTTTGAATGATGTTATGGGATGTGTTGGTATGCTTGGTTGAGGCTCCGAGGGCCTCGGGTGAGTTTCGGGTGGTTAGCGGATCATTATTTGGCTTTGGGAGTTGATAGATTTCTGGTATCAGCTGTATCTGGTCTCTGGTCTTGTAAGTGCGGACCTCACAGAATTTGTGCGGACCGTAGAAGTGTTATGCGGCCGCAGAGGAAATTATGCGGACCGCGGAGGTGTTATGCGGCCGCGACAAAATTGTGCGGACCGCGGTGAGGGGTGTGCGCCCGCAGTGAATTTTATGCGAACCGTGGAAGGAAATGGCTCAGGACCCGCGGCAGGATTTTGCGGACCGCACAGTGAAGGTTCAGTGAGCACTATATAAGCGAGGCTTAGGGTTTTATTTCATATCTTGGACTTTGGGAGCTCAGTTTAAGGCAATTTTTTTAGAGTTTTTCAAGAAATTCATCAGGATAAGTGATTCTAACTCGGTTTTGGCTAATATTCATGAATATATCATTGAATTCATCATTCGATTCGTAATTTGGGACGAAATTTGAGAAAAATTGGTGGAGTTTCATAAAATAAATTTTTGGGATTTGAAAGCCGATTCGAAGTCGGATTTGAGTGAAACTAGTATGGTTAGCCTCATAATCGAATGGGTTGTCGAATTTTGCGACATTTGTCGAATTTCGAGATGTGGGCCCGGATTTTGAGTTGACTTTTTGACCTAAAGCTTAGCATTTTCTTACGGGATTGATTCCTTTAGCTCGTGTTGATTGTATCGAATTGTTTATGGCTAGATTCGAGGCATTTGGAGGCCGGTTCGAGAGGCAAGGGCATCGCGGAGTAGGATTTTGATCGGCTTGAGGTAAGTAACAATTGTAAATCTAGTCCTGAGGGTATGAAACCCCGGATTTCGTATCATTTTACTATTTTGAGGTGACACACATGCTAGGTGACGGATGTGTGGGCGTGCACCGTCGAGGATTGTGACTTGGTCCTTCCCGTAGAAACTATAAAGTTGTGTATTTGGTTGAAACTATATGATACTTATGTGATTTAGAAAGAGTTTCTGTAAATTGGGTTGAATGCCATGTTGGGCCTTGTGCCAGAGCTGTTTAGGCCCTTAGGGGCCTTTTTCTTACTATCCTCTCACTGTTTTTGATTGAAAATCTATACTCAGTCATGTTATACTTATTGATTTCATAACTCAGTCTTTATTACTCTGTTTGATGCATATAAATATTGTTTTGGGCTGAATACTCTGTTTTTACTGAGAGCCCGAGTGGCTTGAGAGGTTTATGACTGAGTGAGGCCGAGGGCCTGATTTGTGAGGATATTTATGGGATCGGGCTGCACGTCGCAGCATGTTTTGATATAGGCAGAGGGCTTGATTGATTTATGCCACGAGTTAGCTTGTTATAGCGCTTAGGCTAAAGGAGCCCCTACGGAGTCTGCACACCCCCAGTGAGCGCAGGTACCTACTGAGTGCGAGTGCCGAGTGCTGAGTGACTAGGAGGCATGAGTGATGGTGAGGTTTGCCCGAGGGTCTTTATTTGAGTGATGGTGAGGTTTGCCCGAGGGGCTGTATCTGAGTGATTGTGAGGTTTGCCCGAGGGGCTGTATATGAGTGATGTTTGCCCGAGGGGCTGTATACGAGTGATGTTTGCCCGAGGGGCTGTTTATGATTTCAGCATTTTGCTACTTTTGCAATGAACCTTTGTTCGAAAACTGTTGAGAGATGTTTTTAAATGATTTTACTAGAACTGGATTTAAACAAGATGATTTGATTCAAACTATGGTTTTAAAAGCATGCCGTATTTTTTGTGATATGAACTTTACTTGCATTATTTCTCGTCACTACTTCTCAATCTTTATTTACTGTTGTTACTTACTGAGTTGGCTTACTCACGTTACTCCCTGCACCTTGTGTGCAGATTCAGGCGTTTCTAGACATGGTAGCGAGTGTTGATTGTTCAGTTGCAGATCCATCGGAGTTAGCAAGGTAGCTGCGTGGCGATCGCAGCCCTGCTTTCCTCCCTCTTTATCTTTCCTTAGTTGTATTCAGTTATTTTTAGACTATGTTAGTCTTGATATTGTCAGACGATTGTAGTAGATGCTCATGACTAGTGACACTCCGATGTCGGCTTTCTTTTCCGCACTTTGTTTTGATTTGAACTCCTTTATGAAGGTTTTATATTAAATAGCTTTGGAATTTTCTTTGAAATGAAGATATCTTTTTGTTTTGGTAATGTGTCGGCTTGCCTAGTACCATGATAGGCGCCATCACGACAGGGTTAGTTTGTGGGTCGTGACATGGATCCAATTCAGCCTCACTTGAATGGAGCTATAGACGAACATTTGATTGTTGTTTTACAATTTATGAAACCTCAAAAATTCCGAGGTTTACCAATTTTACATCTACATTTAAAATTTAGTTTCAAAAAATTTATAATTTATAATTTTTGATTTATCTAATCTACAGGTAACTACTCAGTGCGTAGTTGTTGGTACTCTACAAAACTTTGTATCAATTCTACCCGCAATTGTCACGACCCAATTCTATTATAGGCCGTGAAGGCGCCCAACACCATTGCTAGGCAAGCCAACACTGATCAGTCTAGTAGTTTCCCGTTTTTAATAAGTTTGCTAAGTAGATAACTTTCCTCATTTTTAAAAGATTTAAGAAATGGCGGATGTAAAATAATTAACGAAGCAACTGAGTGCAAATCGTAATCATAAAAATGAACCCAAAATCATAAGTCTACTAGTGTGTGCCAAGACCTGTTGTCACAAGTATATGAGCATTCTAGTAGAATATACAAAAAAATATTAGTCTACTGTCCGAAATAAAATAGACAGAAAAATATAACAAAAGAAAGACTCCAGCTGCTGCAGAACGGCTCGGAAGGCAGCTCACTATGAAGTCTCGAAGTGTACGTCAAGCGTGCGCGCCGGACTGATATCCAGATGCACCTACCTCAGATCCTGCACATTTAAGTGCATAAGTGTAATGTGAGTACATAAACAAGTACCTAGTAAGTATCTAGTCTAACCTCGAAGAAGTAGTGACGAGGAGTCGACTCCGACACTTACTAAGGGCCAACAATATAATTATATGAAATACTAATTAAACATGATGTATAGAAATGACAATAAAACTTAGAATAAGAAATAAATGAACCATCCTTTCACCATATTTAAGAACCAAATCATTTCCTTCTAGTTACTGGGTTCACAATTATATATTAATATAAATTTAATAGATTTTCTAATACAAATACAGGGTCTACGCGAAAGTTATTGGGTTCGGCCGAACCCGTAAAGAATACCCTACCTCCGGCCCAAAATTACATAATACACATATTATTGCTTATAACATAAATATTGAAGTTCTAAAACCATTATTTTCATAGTTTTCTTTAATCTTTACCACCTTTTTTCCCCACTATACTTGCCTTTCCCCCTTTTCTTTTTTGTTGTCTACTTACGTTATAACCTTTCTCCTGTCTGAGTTTAGCACTTTTAATTTCCATATTTTTTTCACAATATTATCATAGTTTTATTTTTGTATTTGTGAATACCTTACTTAAAAATATTACATTTTATTGCTTTATGCACTAGTTAATATTCGAGCCAAACAAACTGAAGTTATTAGACCGAATAAACCGAAACCGAAAAGAGAAAAGCCGAACCATATCGAATTTAATTAGGTATGATATTGGTATAGTATTTTAAGAAACCGAATACCGAATCAAAATATCTAAATACCGTACTATACCGACCAACAAACCGTGATTTCCACCCAACCAAGTGCACAAATAGCCCTTTTTTGGACCCGCATTTAAAGAACATCCAAAATTTACAAAATTTGTAACCTTTAACTCCTTCACAATCAACTTCAGAAGAATAGTACTAGGTTCAGAATAAAATATTTATACATAAAGTTTAAGCAAAAATTATTGGATCTGTCCGAATATTCTATCTCTATAAAATGCATTATAAATATTTGACTGTAAATATCAGTTGTTATTGTATATTAATTTGAGATTGTTGTAGGAACCCATAAACTTTAAATTCTGAATCCAATGTACCAGTTTTCCACGCTCTTGAGTATATTGATGCTTTACATGAGTAAATCAGGAGCAGATGCCTTGTCTAAAGGAAATTTACCTGGTGGAGAATTTTGATATACTGCACAATCCCACTTTTCCTTTATCACATAATGTCATATTCTAGTGTTACAATATGTATGAAACAAGAAAGAGAATCTGCATAGCAGGGAATTTATTTTTCCTTTCGAGAAGATGTAATGATATTTTGGATTATTACTTGCTGCAAAATGCACATTCCTCGTTCGACTACTTTTAAGAAAATGCATGGCGTACGTCTTTTTTCCTCAAAAATATCAGTGATCTCTGAAGTCGCTTTCAATAATATAAAGATGAGATGAACATAAAATAGCAGTTCAGAAATTCGTTTATATTGGAAGTAGTGATTTTCAGACCATATATAGAAAAAGATGAGAACCACACAAGTTTTGCAAACAGTAATCAAACAAGCAAAATGTTTCCAGAGAGAAAATGGGAACTGTAACTAGCGATTATGTTGTCGAGTTAAAGCACGATACTAAGTAGAGTTACTATGTACTGACAGTATAAAAGAATTTACACAATCATGTCATTTACGAGGTAATTAGAGATAAAACTCTATGATAAGTACACTAATAGTGTAAAAGGTTTTTACGTTGTCAATGTATATAACTTAAATCCTATTAAGTACTGAAAATGACATGACGATTCTTCATTCTGCTAGGTAGCATACATCAGTTCTTTGAGTTCCTTGCTGAAATGGCTGTTAACAAATTGTTCAGTTTGTAATTTTGCATAATACACGCATTATTAGAAGTACTATTCATACATGTAACTTCATTTTCCTAAAGAATCCAACAGTGGTAGCACTAGATGATCATTCCTCCATCACTTTACAACATCTCTGGAGGGCTGAAGCAACATGATCATCATTAATACCACTTAATCCGATATTCGTCCGATCAAGTCAAAATATTGGATGTCACACTGAAGAACCACAAGATGCTAGTGACCTTGCATTCTGTGTCCTTGAATTTGAACCCCATTCTATGGCTTCTGCGACTTCTCCTTTGCATTCATTTGTAGATATGATACTGTCTTCAGTTGACATTGACATGGTGGATGGTGCTCGAGTTGGAGAAGCGAATGGTGAATCCAATCCTTCTGCGTTAGGTGCTATTGAAAGGGTACTGAGAGCAGTGACCACATCACTGATCAGAGGACGTACTGCTGGATCATCTTGCAGACACATCGAAGCAATAGCAACTGCTTGATTGAAACTTTTCTTTGGGAAATTTGCTTCAAGAAGTGGATCAGCTAGTTCAAGGTATCTCCTTGGGTCTTTGAATATTGGTTCAGCCTGGAACAAGTACAACAACATAACTTTTAGCTTAAACTATTTTCGGTAATAGAATATTAATAATGAAAATGCTCATTATGTCAAAGCAGAAAGGAAGGAGAAATGTTTTGCTTACCCAAGTAACTAAATTCTGCTGATGCCCATTCCTAGTGATATCGACTGCTCTCTTTCCCGTAATTAGCTCCAATAAAACTACACCGAAGCTATAGACATCGGACTTGATAGTCAGTTTTCCAGTTAGCTGGTACTCGGGAGCACAATAACCGTATGTTCCCATTACTCTTGAAGAAACATGGGTGTTATCCCCCGTAGGTCCAACCTTGGCTAACCCGAAGTCTGAAAGTTTTGCATTATATTCCTTATCCAGCAAGATGTTGGAGGACTTCAAGTCACGGTAAATGACAGGCGGATTTGCTTTATGATGTAAATACTCTAGTCCCTTAGCAGCATGTAGTGATATTTTCATCCTTGTGAACCAATCTAGCGGAATTTTATTTGGTTCAATATCTGAAGAAATGCATAGACATGATTCTCCATTAGTTTGATAATTTTCAATGTGTTGCTTCAGTGTGCAGAGTTAACAGATCGCGAATATAGAAGGGAAATGGATCTGCTATTTTCACAAATGCAGGTAATGTGAGAAAGCTAACTAAAACAATTACCAAGCAGATGATCCTCCAATGATCCCAATGGCATGTACTCATAAACCAGAAGTCTTTGATCTCCATCAGCACAATACCCTATCAAATTTACAAGATTTGGGTGGTGCAGAAGGCTCAACATCAACACCTCTACTAGGAATTCTCGGTTTCCTTGCAATCCATTGCGGTCAAGCTGTTTCACTGCTACAATCTGGAGAAAATGAAGTGATGATCAGTACAGTTTTCAGGGCAAAATGCTATGTAAAGAAAAGATAGTAGAATTTTCTCAAGTCTTGAGAACCTGTCCAGTTTTGTTCAGGAGACCTTTGTAAACACGTCCAAATCCACCTTCACCTATCAGACATTCTGATCGGAAATTCTTTGTAGCTGTTGCCAGTTCCCTGAAGGTGAAAGTTTGAGCTGCAATGTTGTTCTGGCCGTCGCCTTTGTTAGAAGCCTTTTGGTGTGTGGCTTCTGCTGCCGCCTTTCTAGTACTTTCTGCGGACAAAGTTAGAAGATTTATATATTAGGAAAGCAAAGCACCAGCTAAAACACTTGAACGGCCGCTCAATGCACCCTGTCCCCACAGTGCTTCTACTAAAATGTGTGAATCTCTCCTCTGAAAGCTGAAGTTGCTAGAGGTAACACTTTAACATATAGCTGAAGTTGCTAGAGGTAACACTCTTAACATATCTACTCACTGAAAGTATTTTATTGACAGGTACCATTAAAACTCCAACTCAAGACCTCTACTGCTTTATTACCATATCGGATTTTGTGAACATCTTATCTAAAACTTTATACTACCAGAGAGAGAGAGAGAGAGAGAGAGAGAGCTTATTTATTTTAGGTCTACAATAGGCCCCCTCTCCTTTACTGTTTTGTTGTTATAAAAGTTGGCTTTAAGAAACCTATCTTCTTTTGTGGTCACAGTAGAATTTTTCCACAATGAGCAGAAAAATAGCTCTATGAAACAGTCCCCAGTCTTTGGTTCAATGGCAAGAACACAGTCCGTGATATGTGGGTTAGGCGCAGGGGCGGAGCTAGCCATGGGTTCGGTTGAACCCGGTAACTTTGGTTCGGTATTTGCCTTACAAAATCCATGGAATATACACAAATTATTAAATTGAACCCAGTAACTTAAAATGACTAAAATCTCGAACCCATAAACTTCAAATCCTGACTTCGCCTCTAGTTAGGCGTAATTGGAACCTTGCAGTGGACTAAAAGCATTGTATTTAAGTCCAGAAATAAAGATGAGTGAGCCATTAACACCAAATTTAGAACAGTACGCCAGCTGATCCTCGGGAATTTTTCGATTATAAAACAAAGAAATAGCTTTATGAAGCAAAGCAAAGCTTAGTTTAAACCTTGTCTTGATCAGAGTTGGAATATGAATTTTGAACACCCAAAAAAAGAAAAAAGAAAAACAAAAGCTAAAATCAAACTCCAAATTAAATGCGTTTTAAAGTTATTATTTTAAAGAAACATTTCATATGGTCATACCGAAGAAATTGCGACAACCTTACCAGAAGGAGGTTGTGGACGCTGAGAATGAGAACGAGAATGCAGCTCTTGCTGTGATTTTGGCCTCGATAATGAATATTGTGTACGCTTTTGGAGACTTTCCCTGTGATTAGCAACAGCAGCAGCACCAGATGTTTCTCTTTTGTTGCTATGTATTCTCTTGAATGCCTTCTTTTCATTCGACGAAAAACATGAAAAGCAACCCATTTTTTTAATATAAACCCTTTGCAGGAACGGTTGTATATTTTCTAAAAAGAACAATTTCTATAATCTGGATGCTGTAAATTGGTTTAGGCAATGCTAGTATTTGCCTTCTATATAGAGCTAACAGTTTGATCTGCAAAATCTACCAAATGTCTAGAGCCAAATTCTAAAAACTCAATCTTGATAGAATCAAAAGAATGAGAACTGTAAACACCTTTTATGGATCTGTGAATGTAAATATGGCGTATATAAAGATAACTATGGCTTATGGATAGCTAATTAAGGCTGTCTAAAAACGGAAGGAGCTATTTTTAGCATAAGGGGGAGAGAAGGAGATATGTTTGGAGATGTTTTCCGTTGAACTTCCCGCAGAATTCGGGGGATATAATGGTTGGGAGAATTTGAAGGGATATTTGGTGAAAAGACAAACTTGAGAACGAATTTGGCGCGGACCTAAACTTTGATTTCTCACCTTATATTGTTGCATACTTGAAAAATGATTAAAAAATTTGTACCCCTCACTGTTTATACCAATCAAACACATGACATATGTTTCAGCATACTAACCATAGTTACTTTATATATATTCTCACCTTAATTTATTACTTAACCATGATAAATTAATGCAATTTGGTATAAACACCATGTATGGATAGGTTTTTACCATTGAATATCTTCCGGTACATATAGTACTCCCTCCGGTTTACAATAAGTGTCCAATTTGCTTTTAGCACGCCCATTAAGAAAATGCTAAATTCTATACAAAAATACCTACTATGACTAAACTACCCCTAATTAAACATTTAATGTGAGGAGTAAGAAAACTTTTTAGGGATATGTACATAGGGGTTATTTTGTAAAAACAAATTGAATTCTTTCTTGATTACATAACTGGACACTTATTTTGAACCAAAATGAAAAAGCAAATTGGACACTTATTGTGAACCGGAGGGAGTATATAATTGTTTAACCAAAAAATAGATTTTTAGTCAAAGCTAAAAATTAGAAGAATCGGATTACTGATAATCGAAAAAATAAATAAAAAAAAGAAATTTTAGAATAGCCAAGTATGAAAGCTGGTAAATCAAAGTATATTCCAATAGTCACCTCCCCTACAATTGTTTGTTTCTTCCCTTTTTATAGCTCTTTTGGGATACGAGCCTTACCTTTGTCATAATAATGCTATTGTGGGCAATTAATGACTTTAAATGTTACGTTATACAGTCATATACATTAAATACATATTTTCTAACGTTTCCAATAATTAATACTCATTAAATGCTGTATCTGGGCTCCTTTTTGCTGTCAGATTCATTCCTTTGATTCTTCACTATCTTTGAGTTTTAAATGTCTTGAATAGGTACGAGCGTTGAATTACTTGTATGACTGCTCGCACCCCCTCCATTTAATTTACTCGTATCTATTGTTGCTCGTATCTGTTAACCAACTTTATTTCTTTGACTGTTTGAGCAGTCTATACCTCATGACACGTCGCCATATACATAAATATAATTTTTCCCAATACAGATAGTCCCCCCACTTTCCAATTATTCATCAGTTTGAATATTTGGAAAGTGGAATTCATTAAGGGGGAATTTTTGTCACCACTAATGCTCTGACAGAGTTTGACGCTTCACTTATTACTTTCATTTAATGCGCTAGACACGTGTCATCCTCTTATTGGTCATACAATTGTACAACACTTTCTTAGGCTTTTTTTTCGGCTTCCCTGTCCATGAAGTGTCAGTTATCATTATTATGGACTTCCCATCACTATACTCTTTCCTTCTGACGGTCATTCATTAGTATAAATATAACTTCCATCTTTGTCTTCTACCATTTAAAGCGTATTAAACACTTTAAATTTTTCAAAACTTTTATTCACTTCTTCTTCACTTCAATCTTCTTTGTCATGGCTTCTCCGAACCCTAACCCTAGAAGAACTCCTATTTTAGACAGCTTTCCCAATGCTCCCGTTAGGCATAGAAGATGTGGTGGTGGTAGACTCCGTAGTTTNCGCATCTCTTCATCATTAGACTCTTGTGTCGCTTGTGAGAATCTTGTACTCGGTTCTCCTATTTCAACTGGGATTAATGCTTCAGCTCCATAAACTAAAGAGAAAGGAGTTTCACCTGTGCTCGTCTTTGTTGTCGTGCGATATGCCCATAACACTCTGGGTAACACTTCAGGCCAATTACCCTTTGATTCCTCTAAACGTTTCTTCAAATTGTTGATTATGACTTTGTTCGTTGATTCTGCTTGCCCATTGCCTACTGGGTGATAAGGTGTAGATGTGATTCTCTTAATTTGCCAGCTCTCAAAAAACTCCGTGACTTGAGCTCCGATAAATTGAGGGCCATTGTCGCATACAATCTCCTTTGGTACACCAAATTGGCAGATGATATTAAGCCAAATGAAGTCTTTGACCTCCTTTTCTCGTACCTGTTTAAATGCTCCTGCCTCTACCCATTTAGTGAAGTAATCAGTAAGTACGAGCAAAAATTTTACCTGTCCTTTTGCTTGTGGTAATGGACCCACGATATCCATTCCCCACTTCATGAATGGCCATGGTGATATGACCGGATGTAACAACTCCGTAGGTCTATGCATGTTGTTACCGTACCTTTGACATTTATCACATGTAGCTACAAAACTTTCCGCTTCTTCCTCCATTTTAGGCCAATAATATCCTGCTCTAATCAAGGTTCTTACCAGTGATCTTCCTCCTAAGTGATTCCCGCAATGCCCCTCATGTATTTCCCTCATTACATACTCCGTTTGAGAAGGTCCGAGGCATCTTGCTAGTGGACCACCGAACATCTTACGATAAAGATTCCCTTGTTTTAAATAGTAACGAGCAGCCTTTTTTCGAAGTGCATGCGCTTGCTTCTTGTCATTAGGGACGGTACCATACTGTATAAAAGCAACAATTTCGTTTCTCCAATCCCATGTTAAATTATTAAACTTTACCTCATTCTTATCTGGTTCGAGAACTGAATGAAATAAATGTATAACTGAAGCATTTGCATCTTTTGCCACATCAACTGCGAATGTGAGATTAGCTAAGGCATCTGCTCAAAATTTTCATCCCTCGATATTTGTATGACCTTCCAAGTTTGGAATTGCTTTATCAGTTCCCGCACCTTTTCCAAGTACTGTTGTATCCTTGCTTCCTTAACTGTGTAAGTCCCCAGCATTTGATTAACCACGAGCTGCGAGTCACTTTTGATCACTACTTGATTTATACCAAGTTCTCGTGCCAATTCTAAACCTGCAATCACAGCTTCATACTCCGCTTCATTGTTAGTTACGGAATGACATTTAATAGTTTGCCTAATAGTTTCACCCGTAGGTGGTACTAAAACAATTCCTAATCCTGCACCTTTTACGTTAGATGAGCCATCAGTAAATAAGGTCCATGTTCCTGGATTAGTCCCATTAAGTACTTGTACTTCTTTTTCTGCTTCTAGTTGCATCCCTTGGCTAAAGTCAGCCACGAAATCAGCTAATATCTGTGATTTTATTGCTGTTCTAGGTAAGTACGTGATTTCATATTCACTTAGCTCTATGGCCCATTTAGCTAACCTTCCCGACAATTCATGTTTATGCAATATATTATGTAGGGGGTATGCAGTCACTACAACAATGGGATGACATTGAAAGTATGGTCTTAACTTCCTAGATGCCATGATAAGAGCAAGTGCTAATTTTTCCAATTGTGGATAACGTGTCTCTGCATCTAACAAAGATTTACTAACATAATAGATAGGAGATTGTTTACCCTGCTCTTCTCGAACCAAAATCGCGCTTACCGCAACTTCTGAAACAGCAAGGTAGATGAAAAGTTTCTCCCCAACCTTGGGTTTTGCTAGCAAAGGTGGATTTGAAAAGTATATTTTCAAATCCCTAAGTGCTTGTTGACACTCCTCATCCCATTCAAAATGATCCTGCTTCTTAAGAGCCGAGAAGAATTTAAAACATTTTTCCGATGATTTAGAAATGAACCTTCCCAAAGCTGCGATTCTTCCTGTTAGTCTTTGAACCTTTTTCTTGTTGGAAAGTATATCAGGAATTTTTTCAATGGCCTTAATCTGTGCAGGATTCACTTCAATACCATGGTTAGAAACAAAAAAACCTAAAAACTTACCTGATGCCACACCAAATGCACATTTTTCTGGATTCAACTTCATACTATATTTTCGTAAAATTTTAAACGTATCAGATAGGTGCGATATATGATCTTTTGAATGTTGAGTCTTAACTAGCATATCATCTATATATACTTCCATGGTTTTACCTAAATGTTCTTGAAACATTTGGGTGACCAACCTTTGATACGTTGCACCTGCATTCTTAAGACCGAAGGGCATTACCTTGTAACAGTAAGTCCCCCTGTCTGTTATAAAAGAAGTTTTTTCTTCATCTCCTGGATCCATCTTGATTTGATTATAGCCTGAATATGCATCTAAAAAGCTTAATAGCTCATGCCTTGCAGTAGCATCAATTAACTGATCTATGTGCGGTAAAGGAAATGAATCTTTTGGACAGGCTTTATTAAGGTCTGTGTAATCTACACAGACTCGCCACTTACTGTTCTTCTTAGGAACCAAAACAGTATTAGCTAACCAGTTAGGATATTTTACCTCACGAATTGAACTAATTTTTAGCAATTTTTGAACTTCCTCTTGAATCACCTTATTTTTGAAAGTTCCTTGCTTTCTTTTCTTTTGCTTGACGGGAGGATATGATGGATCTTCATTCAACTTATGAGTCATGATTTCCGGTGGTATCCCTGTCATGTCAGAATGGGACCAAGCAAAACAATCTGCATTAGCTTTTAAAAATTCAATCAATTTACGTTTTACCTCCGAGCTAAGATTAGCTCCTATGTACACTTTTCTCTCGGGCCAATGTATAAATAACACCACGGCCTCTAGCTCTTCTATCGTTGTTTTGATGTTCTCGTTCTCCTCCGGTTCTTGAATGGTATCAGGTCTCGAATCCACATCTGTTTGCTTTTGCTCAGGTGAGGTTGACTCCGTGTTACCCTCACCTAAATTCTGTAATTGCTATTTGTCTTCATCCTTAACAGTTGAATCTGCAACGGAATTGATGCTTCTAGATGTTTGTTGATCGCCTCTGATTTGGCATATTCCACATGGAGATGGAAATTTAATAACTTGATGTAAAGTTGAAGGAACAGCTTCCATGTCATGAATCCATGGCCTCCCAAGAATCATATTGTAAGCCATTTCCATATCTACAACTTGAAATTTGGTATCTTTAAC